TTTTTTAATTTTTAAGCTTATTCATTTATTTTGAGAGAGACAGAGACAGTGTGAGTAGGGGAAGGGCAGAGAGAGAGAGAAAATCCCAAGCAGGCTCCGCACTGTCACCACAGAGCCCGATGCGGGGCTCAAACGCATGGAAACGATGCATTTGAACCGATCATGACCCGAGCCGAAACCGAAGAGTCGGATGCTCACCCGCCTGAGCCACCCAGGCGCCCCTAGGGTCCGCGCCCTTAACCACTGCCCTACCGTCCTCACAGCTGTCTTCGTCCGAGCCCCTGGCTCCCTTACAGGCAAGCTGTGTTTTGTGAGGCAAGTACCTTAACCTCTCTGGGCTTCCATCGCCCCTCTCGGGGAGCATAACCCTGAGCAGCTGGCACATGAGGAAGCGAGCGTAGCCGCCACCCAGGGGTGTCTAAAGTTCCTGAAGCATGGCCAGTACACGTGGCAGAGGCTGGCTTCCCTGCCACGGAAGGGCTCTGCCCTCTTTCTCAGGCTCCCCTCTACTTTCCCATCACCCCGTCTGAAACCCACAGTGTCCCCTGCTCCCTGGTGCACACGCAACAGCCTCTCCGGGCTAACTGCTGGGGATGGGGAAGAAGCCTGCTGCACGCCGGGCCACCCAGAGCGGGTCGCTTCGCTGATCTGGTTTCATCCTGCAACCACCCTGCCATTTACCCCACTTAACAGGTGCGAAGGCTGAGTCCTGGGGAGGCAGTTTGCCCACCGACTTGTCGCAGCTGGAAAGGATCTGTCTGGCTCCCCCGTCCTGTCTGCCTCAGCCACACCCACTGGCAGCCATCACAGCATCAGGCCTGCACGGGCGTCCCCCTCCGGCTCACAGTGCCTGGCACGAGGCTGGGACTCTGGAACCGTTTACTGAATGAACGAACGGCCGAGGCACGCCTGCACGTCTCGCTGACATGACAGCACCGGCCCCTGCCTCCGGGCCAGTCAGCTGCCAGGTGCAGAAGTACGGGCCTCGTCTTGAAGGGCCCTGCCAGAGATCACCCTGTGCCACCCTCGTTTGCTCGCTTCCCCCAGGCCCCAAACACCGTTCCCTCTGGGCAGTTCTTCCTGGTGCCCTCACACACCCCTCCTTTCAGGACGGGATGCTCTCCCAGTCAACCTCGGGAGGAAGGAAGGAAAGAAAGAGGGGCTTGAAGGAGGAAGTCAGATCTATGGAAAAGTCTAGCCTAGAAAACTCTGGTCTTCCAGCAAGATCAAGGCTAGGGCACTCTCTCCCTCCAGCAGGACACTTGTCAAGACACTGGCAAGTGCCTGTTGATCTCCTGTCACATCTCAGCTCCCCAGGAATGGCACAGGAGGATCAGGGCAGTATCTGATCTCTTTCAGCATCACCAGCTCAGGCTGGCCCAGAGCGGTCTGTGCGGTGCGGGATGAGAATACTTTTCAGGATGATTCGGTTGCTCTTCTGAATAACAGTGACTGAGGGGCAATTATCATCTCATTTTAGAGTAGGGAAAACTTCGGAACAAAGCTTCAAGATGCCTCGCCCAGAGACCTACAGCTCGAAAGGGCAGAAGCTGGGAACGAGTGGGTCTGCAGGAACACATTCCTCTTAGCTCATCCTCGCAGCCGCACCGTGAAAGCGATGGATTTGGATCCCATTTAAAATGAGGCACAGAGAGGTTGATGAATATGTCCACAGTCACACAGATATGGGTGGTCAAGACTAGACTTGAACCCAGCCTGACTCTGCAGCCCTGGGGCAATGCCACCAGCACTCCAGAGTGAAGGGGCTGCAAGGCCATCTGAGAACCTCTCGTTTCCTGCGGAAGCCCCAGCTTCCTGCTGGTGACCTGGCAGTGGCCCAGGGCAGCAGCACTGCCTCCTCCTGCACTGTGCTTCCCCCGTGGCCAGAAGCTCCTCTCCTCTGCTAGGCTAGGGGGGAGAGGAACAGCCTGCTAGTAGTAATCTGATCTTCGGGTCTGGTGTTCGGAGGGTATCTTTCCTCAGCCTTCCGTGCACTCCCAGCTTCCGGTGGGGTGGCGGCGGTGGTTGGGGAGAGAGGTGGGAGGTGGGGAGGGAGAGCCCAGAACTGAGCCTTCTGCGACTGTACAGGATGCTCAACCTTTGGTGGGCCCTCTGCTGAGGCCTGAGTGACTGACATGGAGATGAGACCTCCCCCCTCCCGGAGAAGAGCGGGCCCCTTCTCAGCAGGAGGGATTTAATTTATACTCAGAAAAGGGTGGGCTTGGGACACGCGGTCTGGGAAGGGTCACAGGCAGGGTGTGGTCCTCGGACCCGGGGTGTTGACAGGCTTCCTCTGGAGGCCTGAGGCAGGAGTGGCATTTTGTGTCCAAGGCACTCTGACCCAGGGATTCGGGAGCCTGGCGTCTCCAACCCCATTCATTCATTCATT